AAAAAAAAAAAAAACGATTCTGCTTTCCGGTGTCGAAATACGATGAACAAATACCAAGAAAAATCCTACTTACATCCATAATCGCCGCAGTTAAGAAGTTACAAATGATTCGAACGACTGATAGTTCGTATAATTGACGAACAGATGTAACAACCGAGAGTGTCGAAATCCAATCACGCGTCCCCACCGGTTTTCCTCATTTCTTTCTTTCTTTCTTCTCATCTTTGACAAGCGACATGTTTGCAAATCGTGACACAGATACTCTCGCTGTTATCGGCGATAAGTACCGATGAGACGACGAAGCGAAACGTAATACTGTACGAAATATCTCGAGTCGAACCGGAGCGCAGAAAGACCGATTTGTAGAGCGCGCAGATGCGAGGGCACGACTAATATCGTCAATTTTGTAATTCCGAAAGCGTGCACTCGGTAAACCGGTGTACCGAGGCAGTCGAAGTGAAAGAACTCCGCGTTCCGAGAAGTGCACGAAGGCGTCAGTCACGAAAGCACAGAGAGAGAGAGAGAGAGAGAGAGAGAGAGAGAGGCACATGTGCACGCGGTGCACACGTAACGCGATGGGATTTCTCGATAAGTGAACGCTTCAATGTCGCAGGAAATTATTTCCCTCGGATTTTTCAGGTTTCGGGACCACCGATTTTTCATCTTGATAACTTTATTACAATGTTGTCGCTGGTTGCTCTTTGTCCAATGGGACTTATCCGAGGCTATTTAGTATGTTTGGAAAGGAATGGAATATTATTTGTGGCCGGTTGGTTAGCGGTTTCTTCTGTTATCGGAGTGTCTCCTTGTGGTTTTAGGACACAGTACAATCGTTCGGCTAATTACACAAATTCCTAACGATCTTCGACGTCAGGCCTTCCGTAAAATCAGACTTTTATCGGATTTGTCAATGTCCTTATCGCGTTTCAACGTTTTTGTAAGTACACAATGTAGGTTCATCTTTGGCCATTATCGAACCAATGTTTGTCGTAAGTTTTAGGATAAACTGGAATATCTGAATTTTAAGCTAAAAAGCATTTACCTATTGTATTACGTCCTCTCCAATTATCGTCTCTTATTTTACAGTCTTATCTCTCCCAAGTTTCCATACGATCGAGCGTCCCATTTAATAACACGCAATACGAGATAAAAAAAAAAAAAAAAAAAAGAAAACTCATTCCTGCGTCTCGCAGCCTTAGAAATATTCGAAATCTTTCATATAAACTTCACTGTTAAAATTAGCGCGTGCGAGTTCAAAATAGTTTCTTGTCCCGGGTTTTCCCGTGAATATTCCAAGCGAAACATAAAGTTTGGCTGGACGTGGATTACGTAAGTGAAAGCTTGGCGATGATAGCCGGTGGCAGATCGCTCTTTTTCCGTGTGACGCAAGGACGCGACTATTCTGCGCGAGACTCGAACAGCGGAAACGAAGAATTCGCGAGGGTGTGTTGCGGATGCGATAACGAGCCGACTGCAGAGCTTCGAGACGGCCGCAACGCAAGCCTGTTGTGGCTACAAAACATCGAACCACGAACCATCGAATTACGTCGCAGCCGTAATTGTCCGATGGCCGAACATGCCGCGCGAAATCTGTTTTGTCGGGGCGAATCGATTCATCGAAACATCTTCCTTTTTTTTTTTTTTCTGTCGCCACGCGACCAATCGAGATC